GGATTTAGTTGTCATCTACAAGTATATAAAATGGATTATAGGCATGAGGTCAATATAATTAAATTATTATTTTATTGTTGTTTATGCCATGAGTTTGAAAATTTCGTCAAGCTCATAATCATCACAAATAACACAAACAAAAATATATATAATTTAATTAACCTTATTTGAATGAAACATATTCATCTATTCACGTTATTATTTAACAAGTAAACACAAATATAAACATCACAAAGATATTTAACTCTCATAACATGAATAGCATATATTCATGTATCATATTTTATAAATATAAACATCACAAAGATATTTACGTCTCATAACATGAATAACATATATTCATGTATCATATTAAATAATTATTTGATATCACTTAGATAATTTAAATAATAATAAGAAGCCGTACAATATTACTAAAATATTAATTTATTCTTTGTCATAATAACAAATATTATGACAATTTCAAAAGATATTTTTTTATTAATGGTAAACATGAATACCATATAAATATTTAAAAACCATAAAAACAAATATTATTTAAAAAAAGAATAATAATATTAATTTTTATTCTTTGTTTATATAATAATTAGGCCACAAAACCTAATTATTCCTCCATCTTAATTTTTTTTTATGTCATTTTCATGAATGACACTCATTCTATATTTAACACTTAGTTAATCAATAGAATGAATTGTATGTAACAAATACATAAATATATATATATATATGTTTATTAAAAAATACGTCGAAGGAATAAACGGGCTCTGATACCACTGCTAGTGGTTTTATATAACACATTTTAATATATATAGGACTAACCTTTATGTAGCGGAAGCGAAAAATTGCCCGTATCTTTTATCCGACGGCTACTAGAGTCGTCGGTTTCCTCCACGCTCTAAGACCCGAGCCGCCTTAAGATGGTGTCGGCTCAACAAGAGAATATGCACTAAATAAAGATAATTGTATATATTTTTCTAGTTTATTTCTTTGTCTCATATTGTCACTTTTCATGATGCACAAAGCATCATATTTATACTTCTCTTTCATGGAACTCAATTGAATGAAGACTTTAATACACTTCTCATAACTCCATACTTAATGGAGATCAGGTTGTAACACCACCACATTAAGTGGATGTTACCAATTGATGCAAGTAACATCAATTTAAAACAATGCAAATCATACCAAAAATTGCTCCCTAGTGTTTGAATTTTGAACTTGCAAAAGTGGGGCAAGAAACATAGCACAAGGGCCGAAATCTTTGGGATCAAACGGGTCGGGCTTCTTAGCATAAAGGGCATGGCAAAAGGTCAAAACTTGGGCTTCAACTTGGCAATTTTGGTTAGAAAAGGGCTCTCGAGAATTGGTCTTACTCGAACACAAAAAAGTCCAACGATTATTGATTAGCAAAGAGATCGCCAAAATTTGAATAATTTAACTAGACGAGGTCGTCTACATAAATTATTTAACTTATTAAATTAAATAGATAAGGACGTCCAAAAAACCATAAAGAACTTATTAATTATTTCGAGCTTAAAAGGAATGAAATGCAATGCAAAGCACTCAAAATAAAATAGAACGAGATGTCTTTTTTTAATCAAACGGGGCACTACATTAGTTCCGCGCTTCTTTACTTAATTATGTAGTAAGACTTGGAGACTTGGAGGAATTCCCCAGTACAATAATGGATAATGGTCTAAACAGGTTTACACCTTCACATTTCTTAAAATGCAATATCTATTCTATTTTCTCCCTACTTCTCATTTTCTCCACTGAAAAAAACTCGAGCTTCAAAAGTTTAATCATAATCAATATCTTGATCAGAAGCAACACAATTTTTTAGTACCCCAAATAGAACAAAAAACTTACATTATTCATCACTTATCATATTTTATTTTCCAACAACAAACATGAGAACAAGTACACAACACAAATAAAGTTCACAAACACATATATACTTATTATTTAGTTGTTATCCGACCAAAACTGACGCTGAAGATACTTAATCACATTCCCATCAACCTGGAAAGCTTTGGTGAGGACATCGACCGAAATAGGAGGCATCGAACCGAAAACCGCATTGGCGATAGTAATAACTCCCGGGTTTTGGCTGCTAAGTCCGGCAAATGCCACCGCATTACTCCTCCCGCTATTAAACTGAAAATGGACGAGACCTTCCGGAAAGACGAAAACGTCCCCCGGATTTAGCGTCTTTGTGAAGAGCTTGTTCCTTTGGTTTGGGTCGGCCGGGTTTGAGGTGACG